ACATAATGTTACTTGTCAATTATACCTCAAGGAAGCTGGGGGTAGCGTTCGTAGCTATATAGGATCGTCGATATTCTCTAATCCGGCCTCACCTCTGCACCTTTGCTCGGGCAACATCTGACTGTGTGGCAGGCCTAGCTGCATGTCACCTCCTTGGTCAAATCTGCAGGCCTGGCAAGCAAAAGCATGCTCCCCTCCTCTGGGTGTCCGGCACTCTGTTCCTGCTCTTCCAGCCCTTCCAGGAGCTATTTGTCCTGTGCCTGTGGGCCTGGGCCAGGACGCTGCATTGGCTGGATACTGCCTTCCCATCTCTATGTCCCTGGCCCAGCGCAGGGGATGCTGGGTAAGTCTGGTCAAATGCCCACAGGAGTGACTCCTCCTCGTCCTGACAGCCTGCCCTCAGCCCTGAGACAGGGGAGGGACTTCTTTCTCGCTGGTACCATTCCTGGATTTGGTTTCGTTCCCAGTCAGACACCTAGTGATGCTGGGGCTCCCTCCGCCCGGAGGGAGGGCTGGGACCCCAAAGGCAAAGGGGCACAGCTGGAGAGCTGACTCGGGTGGGGGTGAGGGGGTGCCCAGGAATGGAGGGTGTCCGATCAGGTCATGTGGCCTGGCGGCTTCAGGGGCCCCACACTGGCCTTTTGAGGAAAGGAGCAGACCTGTCCCTCCCCCAGCTGCGCACAGCTGTTCCCGCTGGGCCTGGCGCTCCTCCCCACTCCCAGAAGGGCCTCTCCACCCCAGACCTGGGCTAAGGAGAGCATCGCGTGTCTGTCCTGCCCCCTGCTGGTCGCTGAGGGAGTGGCAAGGTGGGGAGGAGGTTCCAGGGACCTGGTTCCAAAGGCCCTTTGCAAACCGGCCCCAGGAAAGGCGGCTGCCATCTGCCCCTGACCTCACTCCCCTGTGTGCCCTGACCCCCTCCGTCTCCCCGCCCCCAGCAACGGCCCCTCTTCTCTCTGCTCCAGACCCAGTTCAAGTCTCCCCTCCGCTGGCTGCACAGCTCCGGCCCCCCACCCTGCTGCCCTTCTCCTACAGCTCTCCACCCTGCCCCCCCCCCCTGTGCCCATCCTAGTCCCGTCTGCAACTAGACCAAAGGGAGTCACATTGGAGCATGCACAAGCCCAGGGTAGCAAAGGGGCCTGTACACAGTCAGCGCCTAATCAGTGCTGCATGGGGAAGGCGATCAAGCCCAGCACCCCAGGCTGCATTCCTCCCACCAGCCCCAAGGACCTGGGGAGGCCAGCCGGGCCCCTGGACGAGAAGGAACGTCTCGGTGTAATGTGTGGTCTATGATCAGCCCCCCCAGACCCTGGCCCTCCGGGAACTGGGGTCCCGGCATCGCCGGTTGTCAGGGAGACACAGGAAAGGGGTGAGGCCCGGACGTGGGAGAGATTTGGGTCCAAGAGAGGCCCATCCCCTCCCCAGATCAGGCTCCTGGGCCACTCCCTCCTCCCCTTCCTTCTTCTGTCCTAACCTCTGGCTCCTATTAACCTTTTTTTAAAATATATTTTTTATTGATTTTTACAGAGAGGAAGGGAGAGGGATAGAGAGTTAGAAACATCAATGACAGAGAAACATCGATCAGCTGCCTCCTGCACACCTCCCACTGGGGATGTGCTCGCAACCAAGGTGCATGCCCCAGACCGGAATCGAACCCCGGCTATTCATGAAATGGCCCTCTTCGGAGCTACTGTGCAATGTTACTGAAAGGAAACCGGCCTCAGTTTCCCCCGACGTCTGAGGTCTCTCCCTGGAGCTGATTCCTCCTTGTCCTCTGGTCTCCCACCTGCGATTCCCCTGCTGCCCAGCAGAGGGGGCTCCACCTCTTCCCTGGAGCAGGGCATAGGGCATAGGGCCTGCTTAGCACAGGGCCTGGGCTGGCCAGCGTTAAGTAACCGCCCTGGCTGCCTCTGCGTCACAGATGAGAAAACTGGCTCTGAGAGCTTCGTGTGTTTTTGTTCATTTCACAGAACTAGAATCTGACAGGGCCTCCCCTTCTGGAGCCTGGCTTTTCCACGGCTCCACGGCGCCTGCCCACTTGGCGGAGCTGCCTTGGAACGCCGTGTTGCATGGCTGTGTGGTGGGCATCTGGAGAAGCGGCTTGACCTGGAGGCAGGAGCAGACCTGTGTGATGGAGGCGCTGGTCGAGCCCTGCGCCCAGCACGGCCCTGGCAGTCAGCGAGGCCAGGCCCCGCGAGGGCGACCCAGGGCACCGTCTCCTGTGATGATGGGACAGACGGAGCTGAGCCCAGTTCAGGCCCCTCCGCTGAGAACCCTGAGGGCATGCCCCTCCCAGAGGCTGCCCCATCCTGAGCAGCCGTCCCGCCTGTCCCACGGCCCTCTCCCGCCCGCGTGCCTACAGGCCTACTTGAATCACAGTCCAAGGTCCAGGCCTCCGATCAGGGCTCTCCAGACCTCCCCGAGGGCTTTCCTCCAGGGCTGTCTGGGCGGGGGGGGGGGGGCTTGGTGAATCATGGCCTGTGGAACCACCTATCACCCTGGATGAGGGGTGAGGGACAGAATGGAGAGCAGGGGGGAGGAGGAGGAGGAGGAGGAGGAGGAGGAAGAGAATGAGGAGGAGGAGGAGAATGAGGAGGAGGAGGAGAATGAGGAGGAGAAGGCACATGTTGGAGTCACCCAGTGGGTCTAAGACTGGAGAGAGGCGGACCCAAAGCCCCTGAGAAACACCTAGAATGGCATCCTGGTGCCGGCGATTAGAAAAGGCAGGAGAACTAAGGCCTCAGTGCGGGATTTGGGTTTGAGAGGTCAGGAGACGGTCAGAGCGAGCTAGGCAAGGGGAGTCAGTCTGAACTCCAGCCCGGCCTCCCAGTGCCTGGAAGGGGTGGTTCCCAGGGGCCTCTGAGGCTCAGTCTTTGAGCCTGACAACTCAGGCCCTGACGGCACTCCGGCCCCAGAGACCTGACCATGGCCCTCAGCCACCCTCCCCAGCCACCTCCTGCTGCCAGACGCCCTTCCCTCCTCTGCCTGTGTACATCACCGATTTCACAGACAGGAAGGAAGAGGGGGAGAGAGGATCATGCATCGGCTGCCTCCCCCGACTGGGGATCGAGGCCGCAGCCTGGGCATGTGCCCTGACGGGGAGTCAAACAGGCAACCCTGTTGGACGGACACTCAACCACTGAGCCACACCAGCCGGGCTAAAAGTGTATTTTAAAAATAGAAACGGAAGGACATGTGTGCAAGATGTCTGGGAGCCCAGGGCCAGAGCGCCCCTCGGCCCCGGGCAGTGGGGAGGCGTCCGGGGGAGGCAGAGCGCACGTGTGCACATGGAAGCACCTTAGGGGTTTCCCTTGAGCCTGGCCTTCCTGATGGGGGACAGCGGGCCCAGGTCCTGACCATGACTCCACTAGGAATCACCTGTCATTCTCCAGCTGGAGGCAAAGTTCAGGGCACAGGGCGTGGGGAGAGATAAGGTGGGACTCAGAGGCAGGAGTTCATGACGCTGCCATTCCATGACATTTGACTAGAGAGGACACAAATCTCTCTTCATCGACTCAGGATGCCCTGGGCCGCCGCTGACTCACTTGGGCAGCATGACGCCCAAGTGGTCCAAGTCTCGGTCACCAGGGAATGCCATAGGGAAGGCTCTCATAAGGAGTCTCCGAAGTCCCTTGAAATCTAGTTCCTGGGATTCTCGGAGTCCTGGAGGTGACAAGATTGTCCCCAGTGAGTGACAACCATCTCCCAGGTTCTAATGAACATGTTCAGCAGAGAGCAGTGACCAAACCCCCAGGACAGGGAGAGCCCGTCTGCAGGAGGAAAGACCAAAGAGAACGAGAGTGGAGGCAGGGCCCTGGCTGGTTTGGCCTGAGAACTGAGGGGTCCCAGGTTCAATTCTTGGTTGTGGGCACATCCCCGATGATTGGGGGGGGGGGGGGCAGGAGGCAACTGATCCGATGTTTCTAACTATCTATCCCTCTCCCTTCCTCTCTGTAAAACATCAATAAAAATATTTTTTTTTAAAGAGTGGAGGCAGGGAGTCTGGGGCTGCCCGGCGGTCACAGGCAGAGGGACTGAGCTCAGGCTGGAGGGCTGCGGCATGGGTGGAGGGAGAGGGGGGCTGTAGTCACTTGCTAAGGGAGTGAAGCTCACAGGATGGGCTGTGGGAGCTGAAGGGGGGCTCGGGGTGGTCCTGGTCCCCTGCTTGGCTGGGTGTGGTGCCCTGGACGAGCAGGGCACATGGGAGGGGAGGCTGATTGTTCGGAGGGAAATACTGAGCTCACGCTGAGCTCCAAGACGTCTCCCAGCACCTAGCATCGTGCCTGCTTCCCCATCTTTGCCGAGGCCAGCAGGGCATGGGCCAGAGGTCAGAGGGCATGGGGTAGGTGTAAGGTGACCAGATGTCCCGCTTTCGGCGGGACAGTCCCAATTTTTAACAATTTGTCCCGCGTCCAGAGGTGTTTTAAAAAAGTCCCACGGGACAAGTTGTTAAAAATCGGGACTGTCCCGCCAAAAGCGGAACGTCTGGTCACCTTAGGTAAGTGGGGAGGTAAGACAGCAGAGGATGGGGGTAGGGGGGCCCCTGCTGGGTGGGAGGGGACAGAAGAAAGGACGAACGAGGTAGGTTCTGCCCATAGGAACTCTCAGCCCTCCATGTAACGCCCACGGAGGTCCCCTCCCGGATCCCCGCCTGCTCCTATGCGGTCCGTGTGCTGGACCACCTGGACACGCACGGTCACGCACCCACACATGCAGCACCTGCGCACACGGGTGCACATGCCGGCTGTGGGCCCTCCAGCGCCTGGCCCCTGACCGCCGAGGCCCGGGTGTGCTCTCCTTCCGTCCCAGGCCCGGTGCCTGATGCTGACCGGGGCCCCTGAAGAGGAGCCCAAAAGGCAGAGGGAGGGGAGTCACAGGCCCGCAGGGAGCTGGGAGGCAGTGCCCGGCTGAGCGTGGGCACCTGTGGGCGCACAGAGCCTCCGGCCCAGGCTGCGTGTGTGCAGATGGCCTGGGCCTCCCCGCCCAGCAAGGTCCAAAGAGCACAGGTGTGGCACCTCCCGGCCTCATCGGCTCGGCCGCCTGCTGGGCCGGGGCCGCCTCATCGCAGGGCCTCTGCCTGGCACCAGCGGAGGAGACACCGCTCCCACCACCGGCGCCGGTCACCACCACCAGCAGCCCCCTCGGGGGACAGGCCTCACTGGAAGCCAGGTAAGGCCGGGCCCTCGGGAAGTCAGGGCCCAGGGGGCCGCCGGGGGCCCCAGGGTGGTGGGGGCAGCTCAGAGCTTCCCAGGCCAGAGGCTCAGCCCAGGGCAGCGGGAGGAGAGCCCCACGCCTCCCAGGGCGAGGGACTCGGTGTGGGCTGGCCGGCGGGGACGAAGGCAAGGCAGGGGTTCCTCCCAGCGGCCATGATGTAGGCTCCTCTTCCCTACTCCAAGCCCCCAACTCAGGGGTAAGTGCAGGGAACTGGCTGCCACAGCCCCCTCCTCCAGCCAGGGGCAAGACAGGCCAAAGCCAGCCCCCTCCCCTCTCCTGCTCGGGATCCGAGCGCAGAAGCTGCAGGGGGACCCACAGGGCCAGCCTGGCGTGGGGGGAGCAGGAAGAGGTGTGGACCACAATCCAGAATTGCCGACATTCACCTTGGGGCTGGCCATAGTTTCTCTTTCCTATCTAGGAGCAGGAACTGTTGTAGGGAGGGGGTATGGGAGAGGGGAGGGGAGCAGATGCCAGCACCCCTTACCTTGGAGAGGAAAGGGGTCGTCCCCCCCCCAACAAGACACACAGACCCGCGCCTCCCCCACAGCACCTCAGCTGTTTACTGGCAACGCATTGCCTCTGCGTCACGGCCGGGGACGCTATTTCCATGCCGGGCCCAATAACAGGGTGTGGGCTGCTCTTACCCTTTGCCCAGATTCCCCGGGGCTTCCTCACTGAGGCAGGGACACACCCACAAAGCGGAGACACGCTCATGGTGCTCGGCCGCCTCATTTGACAGCACATCCCCCTGACCTACACCGAGCGTGTCAAACTCGCAGCCCGAGGGCCGCATGCGGCCCACCAGGAACATTTTTGCGGCCCGGCCGGTATAACGGTGTGAGCAGTTATTACATGTATGAAAGGAAATACGTCTCCTGTCAGATCCAAAATTGCCGACATTCACCCACGGGTAGTTTTGTTGTTGTTGTTGTTTTAATATATTTTATTGATTTTTTTTGCAGAGAGGAAGGGTGAAGGATAGAGAGTTAGAAACATTGATGAGAGAGAAACATCCATCAGCTGCCTCCTGCACACCCCCTTCTGGGGATGTGCCCGCAACCAGGGCACGTGCCCTTGACCGGAATCGAACCCGGGACCTCTCAGTCTGCAGGCCGACGCTCTATCCACTGAGCCACACCGGTCAGGGCTCCTTGGGGCAGCTTTGGAAGTAGTCACTGCGAACAAGCTTTCCCCCGAAGTGGGAGAGAGAGTAGCAGAGAAAGAGATGCCAAGTGCCGGGAAGAAACATTAATCTTCTCGTTGCTCTTGATCTTTTTTTTTTACTATTCTTTTCTGAATGAGCCTACGTCTCTATGAAAATGGAAGCTTTTGCCCTTTTGTGGCCCAGAGACTTAAACCTGGTTCATTTGGCCCGTGTGAGCCTTTGAGTTTGACATGCTGGACCTACACCCTCAATTAGGCCCCGCCCCGCACGGACACGGACACACACACATGCACATTGCACACTGACTCACACACTTCCACCCATGCCACCATCCTCGTGCCCACAGCGACAGGCACACACATAAACACCCCGGCACCGAGTGGCAGCCGACAGGGCTGGGCCGTTCTCGGCGACCTCGGGCCCGTGACCCTCCCTGTCCTCGCCGGGTGAGGGCCCGATAGCAGCTCCCCGGCGAGGACGTTTGGAGGATTGCACAGCTGAGAAGGCGAAGCCCGCAGAGCAGGCCGGGTGGAAGGAGTGACACCGGGTGGCGGTGAGAATCCCCCAGCGCCGCGTCCGTGGGGCCTCGGCACGGGCTCTCGGGCGCCTGTTGTCACGTGGGGAGGGCGCTCCGGGCTGGGCGGTGGGATGCTCATGGAGGGCTTCATGGAGGAGGTGAAATGCAGGACTGAGTGAGGGGGACCTGGCGGAGGGTTCAGAGCATGGAAAGGAAGACAAATGACAGGAGGCTTGGGAAGGCGTTTGGGGGAGCACAGAGCACTGAGGCAGGACCCCAGAAACATGCCCCACACCCTCGTGAGTGGTTCCTGGCTTAAGAGCCAATACTGGCTTCCCAACGGGCAGCCCTGAGCCGGTCTGACAGAGGCCGCCTTTGGCAGCGGGAAGCCGGGGGCAGCCCACTCTCAGCATCTTTCACACTCGGGCCCAGGTCCCGTCCTGGCCACTCACCAGCTGTCCAGGGCCCATCGAAATGGCTTTATTAACCAAATAACGGAGGCCCAGCCCAGGTGGAGGGCTCCCCGGCGGAGGAGGCATGGCTGGAGGTGCTCAGAGAGGCCGCTGGGCCGGGGCTTTGGGTCTGCTCTCAGAGGCCCAGGGCGGGAGCCTGGGCCAGGCCTCAGGCCTCTGAGGGACCAGTCACGGGATCCCCGACCTGCCCTTCGCCCTGGGTTTCTCTCCATGGCTGACGGCTGTCCCTGTGATTCAGTTTTGGTTCTAGGGACTCACTCAGCCACGTCACCATGTCCCGACCCAGCAGCAAAGCCATCTACAGTAAGTTCTCCTTCCCCGTCTCCCCCTGGCCCTCCGCATGCTGCCCACCGCCCTGCCTCGGCCTCACCTGGGCCTTCTCCCCCCCCCCCCCCCCCCCCTGTCCCCGGCAGTGCACCGGAAGGAGTACCTGCACACCCTGGCCTCCGAGCCCGCCTGCCTGCAGCACCGGGTGGAGGTGAGTAATCCCGGGCCCAGACAGTTATTTCCTGATTTCACCCCGTGTTCCTGGTGCCCAAGGCCCTGCCCCAAATCAGACACCCAGACGTGTCCTGCCACGGAGCCAGCAGCTGGCCCCGCCAGGTCAGGGGGGCTCACTGGGCCTCGGCTCAGTGCTGGGGAGGCCCAGGCAGCCGGCAGGAGGGAGGTTGGAGGAGCCAGGACAGCAGGGGAGACACGTGCAGCCACTCCCACCCCCACCTGTCCCAGACCCGCCCTGCCACACCTCAACCCGGCACTGCTCTTTGCCCGGCATCTGGCCCAGGGGCAGGAGGAACGTGTGAGGTCAGCAGGCCCCACGGGGCAGTGCCTGGGCCTGGGCTCCCAGGGCTGTGGGCAGAGCTGCTTGGAGGCTCTGGCCTGGGAGGAGGACACTGGCCTGTGACATCCAGTTGCCTGAAGGGCTGTGGGCACCACCAACACGGCACCGACGGGAAGGGCGTGGTGGGGAGAGCGAGCGGAGGCCGCGGCAGAGCGGGGCTGTCCCGAGAAGGAGGAGGGAGGGGCGTGGGCAATGGTTGGGAGGCTCCAGGGGCCGCCGAGGCTGGGACCCGGGTCCTGGGCTCCGTGGCGGGGCCGGGACTGGGAACTGGCTTCCCTCGGGCCCAGCAGGCGAGAGCAAGAGGAGGCACGCCCGCCCAGGATGCCAGGGCGTCTGCTCACAGCAGCATCAGGGCCCTGGGCATGCAGGCGGCGCCCCCAGGAGAGGCGCTGGGGCCTGGGCAGAGAGCGGGGCAGTGGGACCAGGGAGGAGGCAGATGACACGCCCCCAACAAGGGCTTGGAGGGGACGGAGGGCAAGACTGTGTGTGACCTGCGGAGGGTGCGTTTGGACGGGAGGAGGGAGAGTGACAGCTGAAACCTGGGGGACGATCAGACCTGCAGAGGGACAGGAGATATGATCACTGTGCACCCGAAGGGGCAGGAATCGGAGGAGCTGGGAGGAGCTGGGAGGAGCTGGAGGAGCAGTGGGGAGGGGTGGGGAACAGCATGAGCAAAGGCATGGGGACAGGGATGCAGGTCAGAGAGAAGGCCCAGGCTGGGAGAGTGGGTTCCCAAAGGAGCAAAGGAAGCCAGGGACAAAATTGAGGGGCCCTGCCTGCCCCCGAGAGGAGTTTGCGCTTTATCTGTTGGGTGGTTGAAGCCCACGTGACCACCACCCAGCCCCCTCAGCCCCCCGTACTGCTCAAGGCCACGTCCCCACTCCAGAGCCCTAAGCCCCCTAGTGCAGCCCCTCAGCCCCCAGGGCCCGTCCCAGCCAGCTCCCGGCCTCCCCGGCCCCCGAAGGCTGCCTTGTGGGAAGGCCCTGCTCCCTCTTCTGCTGCCCTTTGCCACCCCATGTGCCCCGCTGCCTCCCCCAAACCTGCCCCCCCCCCCGCCCGCAGCACCTGATGACGTGCAAGCTGGGCACACAGGGGCTCCGGGAGCCCAAGGACGCCGAGCAGCGGCTGCAGGAGCTGGACGCGCAGGGCCGCGTGTGGAGCCAGAACCTGCTGCTGCAGGTCCGGGACGGCTGGCTCCAGCTGCTGGACATCGAGTCCAAGGTCAGCCCCCGTGCCCCGCCCATCCCGGCCCCTCACGGCAGCCGCCTCCCGTGGAGGAGACCAGGCACGGGGCCAGGGGCCACGGCCGGCCTGGGGTGACCCCGGCCAGGAGCCCCCCAAAGCCACTCACAGCCCCCTCTCCCCCGCGCCCAGGAGGAGCTGGACTCCTACCGCCTGGACAGCATCCAGGCCATGGACGCGGTGCTCAACTCCTGCTCCTTCAAGTCCGTCCTGTCCGTCACCGTGCAGGGGGCGGGCCCGGCGGGCAGCAGCACGCTGCTCTTCCAGTGCCCGGAAGTGGGGGTGAGTGGCCGGGGTGGGGTCAAGAAGAGAGTGGGTGTGGGGCCCAACCACCACCCCGCCCCCGCCCCCACACACACACACCTCCCCGCTGCCTCCTCCAGGCGGAGCGGCTGCGGACCAGCCTGGAGAAGGCCCTGAAGGAGGAGCTGGAGCTCAGGTAGGCAGCCCCTGCCCCGCCACCCGCAGGAGCGAGAGCTCCATCCCGCCCCGGTGAGAGCCCGGAGCCTGCAGCCCAGGGACTGGGGCCTGGAGCTGGGGGGCCGCGCTGGGGCCAAGGCCAGATGGGCTGTGGCCTGGCCCGGGGGACGCTGGAGACTGTCCCTGGAGCCTGACAGGGACCTGAGGAAGCTCAGAGGGCACATGAGGCAGGGGGGAGGCAGGGGGAGGCAGGGGAGGGAGAGGAGAGGCAGGGGGAGGCAGGGGGAGGCAGGGGGAGGCAGGGGAGGCCCCAGGGGGAGGTAGGGGGGAGGCAGGGGGGAGGCAGGGGGAGGCCCCAGGGGGAGGCAGGGGAAGGCAGGGGGAGGGAGAGGAGAGGCAGGGGGAGGCAGGGGAGGCCCCAGGGGGAGGCAGGGGGGAGGCAGGGGGAGGCAGGGGGAGGCAGGGGAGGGAGAGGAGAGGCAGGGGGAGGCAGGGGGAGGCAGGGGGGAGGCAGGGGAGGTCCCAGGGGGAGGCCTGCAGAGAAGTCTGGTCACAGCCTCTTTCCCCAAAACACTGTCAAGCCTGTGTCCCCACCGTGTGCTCGGCAGACCCCGATTCGGAGTCCCTCTCCCCGGCCAGGACAGGTGGCGGGGGGCTCCTCTGGAAAGGCCACTCCCTAGGGAGCAGGCAGCCCCCCTGGAGTGGGGGCCCCCTCCAGAACAGCCCCCCTGGAGGGCCCCAGAGCACAGTAAGTGTGGGTGTGGGTGTGGGTGTGGGTGTGGGGTGTGGGGGGGGGGTATGGGTTTGGGGGATGGGTGTGGGGTGTGGGGACGGGGAGGAGAAGGTTTAGATAAAGACCAGAGTCATGTCCTCTTACACTGCAGGGAAGCCGCTGTCCCCATGGCCCCAGTCACGACACTCCAGCATCCGAGAACCAAGCCCCTCCCCTCTGCCTCCTCCAAGGCGGCCCCCGACCCCCGAGTACCCAGCAAGGGACGAGGTAACCGCAGGCCTGGTGAAGGGGACACCAACCCTTCCCCCAAAACCAGGCCCCAGGGTGCCCAAGGCAGGCCTTGGGCTGAGGAGGGGTAGGGGGGCGGGGGCAGGGGGGCGGGGGCGGGGGGGCGTGGGCGGGGGCAGGGGCAGGCTGGCAGTGCCAGAGGGGCCTGATCGCCCCCTGAGGCCCACGCTCTCTGCGTCCAGGAGCTGCTGAACCGCGTCCTGAGCGACATCGAGGTGTTCGTGCAGCCGCTGAGGCAGGCCCCGGCGGGCGGCAGCGCGAAGAAGACGAAGAAGCAGGGGAAGAAGAAGAGCGTGGCTCAAGGGGGTGCGTGCTGGGGGCCGGGGGGAGGGTGGAGCCTCGGGATAGTGGGTGACCAGCTGCCGTCTCCCCATCCCCATCCCGCAGGGAGGACACAGGCGCAGTACCTCGACTGCTTCCAGAAGTTCAAGTACAGCTTCAACCTCCTGGTACGTGGCTCCCATAAGTCCCAGCCCCCCTCCCTCACACCACTGCCCCCAGGACCCCCGGTCCATGGCCTCAGAGGCACCCCAGGCTTCTCCCCTGGAGCCTCCCCTCCCCCTCCCAGGACCTTGGACAGTGCCAGGCTGCCAACCGAGGCCCGGGACACCCATGGGCCCTGGGGCTCCGGTGCAGGTGGCATAGATGGGGGTGGTGACAGTACCCCGTGTCCCCAGGGGAGGCTGGCAGTCCACCTGTCGGAGCCCAGTGCCCCTGAGCTGCTGCACATGATCTTCCAGACTCTGCACTTCGTGAGTGGGGGGGAGGGGGAGGAGGTCAGGGTGGCGAAGAGGTACAAGCTGAAGGGTAGACCGAGCAGAGGCCAGGGTGGCTGGCAGGGGGTAGAGGGAGGTTGTGGGGTCTGCCCCTCACTCCCCCCCACACATCCTCCTCCACCCCAGCACACCATCCCCCATCCTGCTGGGTGCTGCAAGCTAGGGGGCTGGGGTGGAGCCGAGAACAGTGGGGCTCTGAGGCCCGGAGGGGCAGCAGGCCTGCGGCCAAGGGCACGGCAGAAGCTGCAGGAGACTCCGAGCCCTTCCCATCCAGCCGGGCCTGTGGGACCCGCCCTCCTCCCTCCAGGTCCTGACGCACTGCCCTGAGCCGGACCTCGCAGGCCAAGTGATCTCACCCCTCCTCACCCCCAAAGCCGTCGACATGCTCGCGTCCCACCTGAGCCCGCCTGACAGTAAACTCTGGAAGAGTCTGGGCCCGGCCTGGACCACCAGCCGGTGAGGGAGGGCGAGGCTGGGCGTGCGGGGGGCACAGGGCAGGACATGGGGTGCAGTGAGCTCTCCACCGTCACAAGCCAGAACACCTCCAGACAAACTGGTGGGCTTACATGGAGCCCTCAGCTCTGTTACACCAAGTGCGAACTATATGTATATATATATAATTTATATATATATATAATTTCAGAGGAAGGGAGAAGGAGAGAGGGATAGAAACATCAACAATGAGAGAATCATTTTTCAGCCGCCTCCTGTGTGCCCCCTACTGGGGATCGAGCCCACAACACCGGCATGTGCCTGGCCAGGAATTGAACTGTGACTTCCTGGTTCATGGGTCAACACTCAACCACTGAGCCACACCGCCAGGGCTGGGACATTTCCTTTTAAAACCATCGCCTGCCATCACCCGCCTCAGAAGGAAAGGCTTTATCTCCGAAAAAAAAGAACAATTCTCCCCAGAATGTAGGGTTGGCAACCTTCTACCAAAATATTTTCTCACTCTTGCCGAGAACAAGGTGAAACCTTGTCTCAGAACTTGAGAATTACTGACATAAGCGTTGCTGCAAATGTAGCAACCAGCCGGCCGAGGAACTAAGATCTAAAGTGGGATGCCACGTCTGTGTTACCCTGAGGTGGGCAGATGGACAACAAGGCCAAACCGATGAGAGCCGTGGGGAGCGGGGGGTAAACCCAGCATGGATGGGGATGTGCTGGGCTGGGGTGCCCGTGAACACTCCACAGAGACAGGGGGGGGGGGGGGGGGCCCTGGCCCTCAGGTGAAAGGTCCAACCTGGCTTTGAGGGTTTGAGAACAGTCGGTTCAGATATGATGGTTAGCGCCACCTAGAGGTGAGCCCTCCGCGGGCAGCGCTGGAACTCCCCCTTAGTGAGCAAGGTCGCTCTGGGCGGGAGAGAGAAGGGAAACTTTTACGTGTCAGCGGAGAAAGGAAGGAGGACTCAGGAGGCAAAGAGAAATTCCCGAGAGTTCAAAGAAGAAACAAAAGAGCAGAGGCATAAAAACCGAGAGAGAAGAGGGTTTTAGAGAGAGAGACCACCCAGGAAGTGAGCCGCTCGCTCTGGCATCTTACCCAGTGAGTTCTTTCCAACACAGCCCCGTGACTGGGGGTGCTGTCCCACCCAGCCAACGACATAAAGTACAATTCAACGCCGTCTGTCTGTTTAGTTGTGCTAGCGTGCACATAAGACGCAATTCACCATCTCAATGTTTTTAAGAGTGTCATTCGGTGGCACTAAATACTTAACAATGTTGGGCGACCAGACCATGTCCATTTCTAGAACTTTCTCCTGGTCCCAAACAGAAACTCTGTACCCATTCAGCAAGTAACAAAACTCTGCACCGCTGCCTCCCTCTCCCCAGCCCCCGGAAGCTCCTCCTCCTTTCCGGCTCCGGGTATCGTTTTAAATGCAACATTAGGTCAGAGATGCCCCGGAATGTTTTCTGATTTCTTACGACAACAAGAAGTTAGGGAATGCATGCGTTGAAAAGTCAAACATACAGAAACTAAAGAGGGTGTAAAAACACTCAAGAGTTGAATGTCAGGCCAGTTATAGTTAGGTGGCTTGATTGTAGGCAAATTGAGCCAAAGCTGTGGTTTGGAAGGGCATGAGCCGTGCGGAGCCAGTGGACTTGGCAATCCGGGGATGAGGGGGGCTTTAGAAAAACTGCTATCGGTAGAGTAATGGCGGAGGTAAGAACCAGGTTGCAAAAAAGTTGGTACGGCCCTGGCTGGTTTGGCTCAGTGGAAAAAGCATCGGCCTTCGGACTGCAGGGTTCTGGGTTCGATTCCAGTCGGGGGCACGTGCCCAGGTTGTAGGCTCCATCCCCAGTGGGGGACGTGTAGGAGGCATCTGAGCAATAATTCTCTCTCGTCTTTGATGTTTCTACCTCGCGCTCTTTCCTTTCCTCTCTAAAATCAATAAAAATATATATATTTTAAAAGTTGGTACAGAGAAGGTAATAGAAGGACAGATTAAAAGCAGTAGTGACACAGTCACTGAGCATGTTTTTAAGACAAAGAGAAGGGACCGTTTAAAAAGACTCAGAAAATAAACAATTTACTGGTTCCCGTTGAACACGCGTCCTCTGCTGTCCCCGGGACGGCAGCTCTGGGACAGGCGGAGCCCGGGCAGCACACCGAGAGAGGCAGCGTCCCAGGCGCCACGCTCAGTGCCGGCAGCAGAAACACCCACTCTGCCCAGCCCCCACCTTAGCCCGACCCCCAGTGGGTGTGACCGGGGTCTGCTGGCGCCCAGCGCTCGGCCCCTTCGTGGGTGTTCTGGAGCCTTCCATCTGTGTGCCTGGGCACGTCCTCCGTTCCCTAGATCGGGAGCGGGAACGCCCAGCCCTTAGGCCATCTAAGGCACACGAGATCATTTCGTCTGGCCTGCCGAGGCATTAGGGGCGGTTTGATTAAATGCCCGGCCAGGTACAGCAGCTAATTTTTAAGTTGATAATTACGTATGGCCTGGGAATGAGGCTATAAATATCCAAACGGCCCTGGGCAGAAAGTAGGTTCCCGCCCCTGCCCTAGGACACCCCGAGGCGAGCTTCCATCTCCTCCCTCCGTCCCCCCCCACCCCCCCCACCCCCGACCCGGAGCGCAGTGGGCTCAGCTTGGTTCTCTCCCCAGGGACAACTGGATGGGCCCTGAGCCCCCGCCCTACCAACCCACGTTCCATGATGGCTGGCAGCCTCCAGAACCTTCCAGCCAGGTAAGGGGAGGGAGCCCTACTCCAAGCCCTGACCTCTGGCTCCTTTCTGCCTTCTCAGTCCACGCCATGGTCACATGGCAACTGGGAACCCATATGTGGGTGCCAGGCGGACAGGATGGGGGGCGTGAGGCGCTGTGTGGGCGTGGTTCTGTGGCCAGGTCCCTGCCTCCAGGCTGCCCTCCCTCACTCTGCCCGCTCCCTCTGTCCCACCCCACAGGCACCCTCAGGACGCCCGGACTCTGCTTCCCTCCGGTGAGCCCCGGGGCTTGGTCAGGGCCGCACGGCTAAGGGGAGGGCGAGAAGGGGCTGGCCTGCGGGCCTGTGGGTGCTGCCTCTCAGACACCCTCTGGGCTTCGGCCAGACGCATCCATGCACAGGCACACCCCTCCCCCTTGGGGAAGAACGCAGGTGCAACCCCTCTCCTAGCACTGCCTCTGACTTCTAAGAGCGCGGGGATAGGGCAGAGCTCAGAGCGAGAGAAGTCCCCCACTGAGTCCTCAGAGATCAGCCACATCCCAGACCTGCTGCCTGCAGACAGCGCCCCTCAGCCCTGTCACTCACCCTGTGGAAACCCAGCTGTCACTCCTCCGGGCGCCTGTGGGAGACAGCTGGGCTCCCGGGCTGGGCCGGGGGCTCCGTTCCCCAGGCCCGGCTCCAGCACCCTTGGGGGCGGCGTGTCAGGTCAGGTAGCACCTCCTACTTGGCTCAAGAGGAGACACAGCCCACGGCCCTCTGTGCCGGGACCCTAACTTTGGACCCTTCCCCCCAAGGCCAGCCCAGCCAGCTCTGAGGATGCAGGTCGTACACGAGTTTAAAGCGAGAAACCCCAAGGAGCTGACCGTGGCCCCGGGAGAAGTGCTGGAGGTGAGGGCTGGGCAGCTGCGGGCAACCTGGGTGCGGGTGCGGGTGGGGGTGCGGGAGGGGGTGCCGGTGGGGCTTCTGGGGAGGGAGGGGGGCCTAGAGAGAGTGGAACATGGGGAGGGCTGGAAGGAGGAAGCCTTGTCGGGGAGGAAGAGGCTCGAGTGACAGAGGGTGACTCCTGCAGGTTCTGGACCACAGCAAGCGGTGGTGGCTGGTGAAGGACCACAGGGGCCAGAGCGGCTACATTCCCAGCAACATCCTGGAGCCCCTGGAGTCGGGGTCCCCTAGGGGCCAGAGCCCGGCCTTTCGGGTACTCCTGGGCTCAACGGGACACAGCTCTGGGGCCGGAGCGGGTGGGCGGGGCCTCAGGACCGGGGAGAAGGCCGTCCTGGTTGATTTAATGCCATCACATGCTCATGTGGCCCAGCTTAGCAGGAGCCTGGGCCCTGCCCAGCACGCACGCCGCGGGGCGGGTCACCTGCTGGCAGCCCAGAGCGGGGCCCAGGCGAGGGGGGCCCTGGGGGTTCTAGGGGGAGACGGTCTCTGACTCCCAGTGCCCCCAATTCTAGGCCCCGATGCTGCGACTCAGCGCCAGGCCCGAGGAGGTCAGAGCCTGGCTGCAGGCAGAAAACTTCGCCCCTGGGTGAGCACCTCGCCCGGGGGTGCGGGGGGGTCTTGGGGGAGCGTTCAGACAGTAAGCAAGGCGACCCAGAACCCGGGACCTGCCTCCTGACCTGCACGCTACCTACATGCTACCGACACGGTGCTTACATGGTACACCACAGTCCCACACGTGCTGCCCTGTCCCAGCAGAAGAGGGGCTGTGTTCCTGCCTAAGTGGGGAGCCCTTGCCATGGGGAAGGCAGTGAGATTGGGGGGACACAGGAGGAATCTCAGCTGCTACCCACCACCCACCTACCCCCACTGCCCCCACAAGATTTCTCCCCTGCACGCCTCCCTCCAGACCAGGAGTCTGCCATTGGTTCAAGCCAAAATGCGTGCGTTACTCCTTCCCCTCCACCCGCCCTGTTCCATGAATTGTCCTGCAACCCCAGCCTCCCAGCCCCTCGGGGGCCGAGTCCTCTGCCAGCACTGACGGCCTCCATCTGTCCGTCTGTCCCCAGCACCGTGAACACTCTCGGGGCCCTGTCAGGATCGCAGCTGCTGTACCTGAGCCCGGGGGAGCTCCAGATGATGTGTCCGCAGGATACCCCCCGGGTCGCAGCCCGGCTGGAGGCCACCAGAAGGATGCTGGGGGTGAGGACACCCGGGGAACCCCAGTGGGAATGCGGGGTGCTCCCTGGGTGACAGTGAGAGCCCACAGGCCTGCCCTAGGGTGGCACTGAGCGTGGCGGGTACTGGGCACGGCTGTTCCCCCAGGGACTTGGCATCCTGGGCTCAGGCAGGCCTGGAGGTCTGAGCAGAGTGTCCACAGGAGCTCTGGAGGGCGGGGGTACCTTCCCTGGCACCAGCCTCATCTCCATCCTTCTCTCCTCAGATAAGCCCGTAGGCACCAGCTCAGACACCTCCAAGATCAAGGCCTTCTCACAGCCGGACGAAGGACCTGATTCTCTTTAGAGCCCCCAGCAGTCCTCTCAGGTCCCCAACTTGCAGCGAACCCCACACCCAGCTCACACAGCAGAGGACGAGCCAGCCCAGAGGGTGGGCGGACGGTGCCCTCTGGCTGCGTGGGGAGCCCTCCCCAGCGACCACCTATTTATTATGTCTGTCCTGGGCCTGGAGGGCTAAGCTTTGTCGGGATGCTGCTCAGTCCTCTCTCCCCAATAAAAGCATCTTCAAGCCTGGCATGCGCCTCCCTCTCAGCTTCTTCTGGGCCTGATGGGGGCCAGAGGCGGGGCGGCGGGAGGAGCTGGGAGGCTGCTCCCAGTAACCAAGGCGACCCAGCATCCATCCCCGGACCAGACTGAGCGGGCCCCCTGGAAGCCAGCCTTTGAGGATGACAGCCCAGGCCCTGCTTACCCTCTTCCTAAACAAAGCCCCAGCAGTGCTCACCATGGTTGCCCTTCGGCGCACATTTCCCCCGTGTATGCCAGGCGCCCAGCAGCGCAGAGGGCAGGGCATCCACCAGAGCAGGGAGTGCGGGCTGCAGATGGCGGGAGGTGTGGATCAGCACCCTGCCTGCCGGTCTGCTTGGCAGCTTCCTCCTCTGACACGGGTTTTGTCCCCTCCCAGTGGGTGAGCCGACCGTGCGCTCCCTGCCCAGCTTGTCTCCGGGCACAGCGCGTGGGGAATGTTGGACTGGGAGTTCAAAGTCCACCAACTGGCTGGCAGGGCACCTCACTCTCTGGGCCCGATTTTCTCACAGGTTTATGAAGCGGTTCGGCACTAATGTGGCTTCTGGGACTTAGGGTGCACGGCCGTCTTTCAGCTCCTAAGTGTCATGACTCCCTTCCCATAGCAGAGGCACTTCTACGGATTCAGTCTACACGTAAGGCTGGATGTACTGTGGATCAAGTGCCCTTAGAGTTCTTTTTTTTTTTTCTTTCCTTCTTTTTTTGTTAATCCTCACCCGAGGATATTTTTCCCATTGATTTTTATTTTTTTTAATACATTTTATTGATTTTTTACAGAGGAGAAGGGAGAGGGATAGTTAGAAACATTGATGAGAGAGAATCATTGATCAGCTGCCTTTTGCACACCCCCCATAGGGGATGTGCCCGCAGCCAAGGTACATGCCCTTGACCGGAATCAAACCCGGGACCCTTGAGTCCGAAGACTGATGCTCTATCCACTGAGCCAAACTGGTTTCAGCCCCATTGATTTTTATTGGGATTGAGTGCAAGGAAGGGGGAAAGACAGAGAGAGCGAAACATTGATTCACATTAATTGGTTGCCTCCTGCACACGCCCCTACTGGGACCAGGGATTGAGCCTGCAACCAAAGCACGAGCTTGGGACCCTTCAGTTCTTGGGCCGATGCTCCAACCACTGAGCAAACCTGGCAGGAGGCACCCTGGGGTTCTTTTTTTTTTTTTAATTTATTTTATTGATTTTGTACAGAGAGGAAGGGAGAGAGATAGAGAGTTAGAAACATCGATGAGAGAAAGTCATTGCTCAGCTGCCTCTTGCACACCCCCTACTGGGGATATGCCCGCAACCAAGGTACATGCCCTTGACTGGAATCGAACCCGGGACCCTTCAGTCCCCAAGCCGACGCTCTATTCATTGAACCAAACCAGTCTCGGCCACCCTGGGGTTCTTGAGATGTTTCCGTCAGTATCTCTTAGCTGGATTTGTCAAGACCCTGGGCCACCCGAGGTGCAGACCTCCTATGTCATTCCCTTGAGTTTCCAGCCTCAGAATATCTCTTTTCCCTCACAAAAGAGGGCACAGGCGAGACCCTCAGGGTCTGGCTGTCAAGGGCAAAAGTTCATCAGAAAGTTAATGTCTTGGGATGGGGAAGAGGTATTAACCCATTGACCTCTGGGCTTGGGGGACCTGCAGGCGCCCTAGAAAGAAGGAGACACTCCAGGGAAAAAGTGTTTTAGCCTCGCGACCCCCAGAATTCCCAACAAAGATTGAGATCAGGTGGGGGGGATGCCCAGATGTCCAGTTCAGCGGAACTAACTAGCTCTGCTATTAGACAGACCTAGGCTGCCGTCCATGAGAATTTAAGAGTTTAGCATGGCAGCTCCCCCAGCCCCTCCAGGCCTCCTTTATCCCCTTCGGTGAAATGAGCATCAAATTTACTTGGAAAAGGTGTGAAGCTTAACAAATATGAAGTACCGAGATGACTGGTGGCATCACAGTAGTGAAGGTTAGTCTTACACCACAGGCGAATTTGTGACTGGCCGTTTGTTACCTCGGGAGGAGAGATTCAGCCATTATGAATGTATCTGTCTCTAAGGATGGCACTTTTTTTTCTTTCTTTCTTTCTTTCTTTCTTCTTTTTAGTGAAATGTCTTTTTAAAAAGTCCCAACCTTGCTTCAGCCAGACTAATGGAGAAATAGGATGTCCCACATCCGGGCAAGGCGGGAAAGGGTTTTGGGTCCTAAGTGGCCAGGCTGGGTAGACCCTGGGGCCAGGAACCTTGGAGTAGCTCCTGAGTCGTGACACCTCCCAACATGCACACAAGGGTGGGGTTCCGGGGTGATCAGAGCCACAGCCTTGCCCACCTTCCCCCTACCCCCCAACTAGGTAAATATCTCACTCTCCCGGGGCCACCAGAGCCCTCACTGCTCGGGCTGTGGGCACCATTAACCGAGTGCGGCTCGCGCAGAGTCCCAACCCCAGGTCCCCAGGCCCCAGGTCCCCAGGTCCCCAGGCCCCAGGCCCCAGGCCCCAGGCCCCCCAGCACGCGCTGCACCCCTCCCCTCGGGCTGCAGAAGCGCGCGGCCCGGGGCACGTTAGGAGGGAACCGGCGGGGCGGAGTCAGCTCTCGCGTCGGCCCCGCCCACCAGGTCGGGTATAAAGAGCCGCCAGGTCGGCGCTCGCCTCCCTCCCGAAGGCAGGAAAGGACACCACCATGTCGTCGACCAAGTCCATGGTCCTGGGGTACTGGGACATCCGCGGGGTGAGTGCCCCGACGGCCGGGAGGCGGGCGCCGGGGCGGCGGGGCTCCGGCCAACGGCCCCCGCGGAGGGCTGTCCCCGGAGCCCGGCGCCTCCCGGACCCCGGACCCCGGACCCCCAGTCCCCGCCCCTGGGACCCGGGCCGGGGAGAGGCCGGGGGACGGCCCCCGCTGGGCTGATGGGGGGCGAAGGGGGGTGCGGGGCCGGCTTAACGACTGCTGGGCGGGAGGGGGCTCGCAGCCCGGGGGGGGGGGGTGGACGTTGGCGGCGGGGCGGGGGGCGCAGGCGCCGATCTGAGCTGTGCACCCCCCTCGCCCCCCAGCTGGCGCACGCCATCCGCCTGCTCCTGGAGTTCACAGGCACCAACTACGAGGAGAAACGGTACATCTGCGGGGGAGGTAAGGCGCGCCCCGCCCCTGCCTTTCCGTGCCCCGAAGGTGGCATCACCCCCAGTCCAGTGCCCCCACCTGGGAGCGCTCACCTGGAGCTGGGTTCTCCTTCGGCCCAACCCCGTCCTAACGCCTAACCAACGGCCCCGCCCCGGCCATGAAATGGTTAAGCAGGGGGCTGGGGATGTTCGCCCCTGGGACTAGGCTGTCTTCCTAGATTCCCCGCTGCCCTGGGGGAGGGGGGGGGGGAGGTTGGGTCCCACTCCATTCTCTCTCTTGCAGCTCCTGACTTTGATAAAAGCCAATGGCTGGATGTGAAATTCAAGCTGGACCTGGACTTTCCAAACGTAGGTGGTTTAGGAGAAGGGGAGCCAGAAGGAGGGCGGTCCCCTGGACCCTCACTTCTGCCCTCTCTGGCCTGGGGGGCATCCACTACCGGGCTCTTCCCCTGGATGGGACAGACAGACTTCAGCGGCTCAAGAACGTGGAGAACAGTTACTTTCACTCCACGAAGCACTCACTGAAGTTAGCAGTCCCTTCTACTGCGCATGTGAGCAATAAGTGACGCTGGGTGTGAGCCACGTCTGTGGCTTTGTCACTAGAAAGGGGGCATTTTCATATGCAGTAGGTGTTGTAAATATGTACAGCCATCATACTTGGACACTGTGGTAATTATTACCCCTGCTTGTTATTTGATTCACTAATAGGCACATATTATTGGTACAATCTGGTTTTCTTAGTGTTTTTATAAATTGTGTAAATATGAGTAATTTGCTTTATGCCTTTAAAAAAAACTTCTGCAAGAAAGGTCTGTGGCGAACACACACACACACACACACACACACCTGCCTAAATTCAGGTGGGGCCCAATCATTGCCTTCTACATATGTGCTTCCTCCTCCTGACACAGCATCTTCTCTCTCCTGTCCACGTCCCTGCCAGTCCCAGCTGCCCCAGGAGACGGGCAGGCTGTTCATGTCACCTTTTCCTTCCAGCTGCCCTACCTCATGGACGGCAAGAACAAGATCACCCAGAGCAACGCCATCTTGCGCTACATCGCGCGCAAGCACAACATGTGTGAGTGGGGCGGGACCGGGGAGGGGCCGAGGCTGGCCGCTCTGGGGGGTGGGTGTGCCGGGGTGATCGCTGGTGGTCTGGCCTGCAGGTGGGGACACCGAAGAAGAAAAGATCCGCGTGGACATCATGGAGAACCAGATCATGGACTTCCGCATGCAGCTGGTTCGGATCTGCTACAACAAGGACCATGTGAGTTTGGCAGGCGGGCGGGCGGGCGGGCGGGCATGAGGGGGAGGAGCCGTAGGAAACCATGGTTACGTCTCCATGCTGCTGCCACCTCCCACCAAGCGAGCTGTCGGAACAGGAAGCAGAACTCTGACTTAGTGGCCTCCTCCTTTCCAAACTCCTCCTGTGCGTCCTGCCATCCAGCCTGAGGCACCTGGAGGGGAAGGGGCGGGGGGAGGGGCCTGAGCATCCATCCCTACCCCCAACCCTATCAGCTGTGAGCATGATCACAGCTCTTCCCTCTCTCTCTCTCTCTCTCTCTCTCTCTCTCTCCCCCCCCCCCCCCCCCCCAGGAAAAGCTGAAGCCCACGTACTTGGAGCAGCTGCCTGGACAGCTGAAGCAGTTCTCCCTGTTCCTGGGGAAATTCTCATGGTTTGCGGGGGACAAGGTAGGAGGAGGGGAGGGGAGGATCGCTCTGTCGTTGCAGGAGCTCAGGAACTCTCCTGACCTCGCCGTCTCACTTGTCCCTAGCTCACCTTTGTGGATTTCCTCACCTACGACGTCTTAGATCAGAATCGTATGTTTGAGCCCAAGTGCCTGGATGAATTTCCAAACCTGAAGGCTTTCATGTGCCGCTTTGAGGTGATGATGCTCCCTACACCTTTCTCTCACAGACACACCCACAGGCTCCCCGGGGCCCCGGGCGCCCCACTGTGTGGGTCTTGCCAACACCAGCTTTTCCTCAAGGGACCCGTGGTTGGGCCCCTCCAGACCTTCCCGTCTTGGGAAGGGTCCGGCTTCTGTACCCAAAGGAGGTGGGCCGGGCAGCGGTGAGTGCCACTGCTTAGACACGGGCTGTCGCTGTGCTGGCCTCTGAGCCCGGCGTGCTTCCCCGCAGGCTTTGGAGAAGATCGCGGCCTACATGCAGTCCGACCGCTTCTTCAAGATGCCCGTCAACAACAAGATGGCCCTGTGGGGCTGCAAGAGAATATGCTGAGCAGGGGGCTGCCTCACACCGCCTCTTCCATCCCCTCCTGTCCCCGGGGGACCCGTGTGCCTTCTCTGCTCCTCTCAATAAATAGCCCTTAGACTACTGGTGTGTCACTGGGTTTCTCTGGGGAGGAAGGGCCGGAGGAGAGTGAGGATGGGGGAGGATTATTACCAACACGTGGCTCAGTCCCTGCAACACTGACAGCCCCACCCCCCAGTTGCTTTCAGTGGCTACTATAGAGGGTCTTGCCCAAGCCTGGAGGGTGAGCACTAGAAAGAAAGGTGAGCCCTAGCCAGTTTGGCTCAGTGGCTAGCGTCGGCCTTCGGACCAAAGGATCCTGGGTTCGATTCTGGCCAAGGGCACGTACCTCGGTTGCAGGCTCCTCCCGGGCCCAGGCCCTGGTTGGGGCGCATGCACGAGGCAACCAGTCGATGTATTTCTCTCACATTGATGTTTCTGTGTTTCCCTCTCCCACTCTCCCTAAAGATCAATGGAAAAATACCCTTGGGTGAGGATTAAAAAAAGAGCTTTACAAAAGTCTTTGCATTAGGAGCCACTCCCCAAAAGGCATTAGAGATGCTCATTTGTATTCATTGCTGAAGGCTGAGCAACATTTTCACTTCAGAAAGCAATGGCTTATGGGACTCAGAAAGACGAGCTGAGGCGTTATGTCACTGACAGGATGGGCGGAGTGGGGACCACTGGCGTGTGGACATGGGTCTGCCTCTCAAGCCGGCTTAGGGCTCAGCATCCCGGAGCCTGGCTCAGAGGAGAAACTGCACATCCCTTATCCTTCAGCAGCTGGACGAGGTTGAGCAATGAGCCACACTGATAAACGGGTTTGAGGGTTCGGAGGGGTGTGGGGGAGGAGAAGAGCATTGGGTTTAGCCAGTGATTTTTCCAATCAGCAAATCTGCTCATGTCCCTCTCCTGCTTAAGTACAATCAAGGGGCTCTTAATCCTCTGGGGCAGAAGCCACCTCCTCCAGTTTACAAAGCCCTTTAAATCGCTCTACTTCCTGCCTGGCTACCTCTCTTGGGGGTCCCTCCCCCACCCCTGCCCGGCATGGGTTCCAGCCTTCCTGAATTCCCCGGGGCTGCAGGGGGCCGGGCATCCTGGCTCTGCCACGATAGGCTGGCCCCCGGACCTCGTGCCTCCTCTGACCAATGAGCCCTCCTTCTCCGGCTGTCATGAGAAGTAAGCCACTGCCTGGAACACCTAGAGCAGACCTGTGTTATGTAAACGTACAAACACATTATCCAAAGGCACCGCCGCATCAGTTTCCCACAGTCGTGATGACTCAGCTCACAGGAGCCTGATGGAGGCCTCCATCAGGGGTCTCCCACACCTGACAGCAGGGGCCCTGTTGACCACATGGGGCCTGAAGCAGCTTGAGTTCCTAATACCCGTGTAGTAAGCCACTGAGATTTGTTTGGTCCTCACCAACATTCCCCTGGCTCCCCAGGCCAACGTGTGTGTGTGTGTGTGTGTGTGTGTGTGTGTGTGTGTATGTATGTGTGTATATATATATACATGTTGTTTGATTTTAAAGAGGAAGAGGGAGAGAGAAAAACATCAATGATGAGAATCATTGATTAGCTGCTGCCTGCCCACAACACACACTCCCCCCAACACACACTAGGGATCAAGCCTGCAACCGGGGCCTGTCCCCTGACTGGGAATCAAACCGTGACCTCCTAGTTCATAGGTCCATGCTCAACCATGGAGCCACACCAGCCGGGACACACTGAAGTCTTAATTGCTCGTGTAAATGCCTGAGAGTGGGGCCTGCCTCCTCCGTGGATCTGTGTGCGTGTGTGTGTTCTCCTGAGGATGGGGACGCAGGAAGAGTTTGCTTCAACAAGTGCTAAACACTCTCCAGGCACTTTTTAAAACTCCCCTCTGTTCTGGTTGGGCGACAGGACACAGAAAGAAGGAATGCCCGTAGAGAGCGTTCAGGTCCAAGTGCTGGGACCTGGACGAAGGTCAGGTTCAGGGAGGCCCCGAACACCAGCCAAGATGTCCGAGGCTGGAGAGGGGGTCGCGTGAGTCCACGGTGGGGCTTGCTCCCTGCTTAGGCCAAACTGAAACAAAACTGGAATCCAACAGGATGGGCTCTGGGGCTTCTCAGAGAAAGTAATTCCAGGTGACTCACACGTGAGATCTAAATCCAGAACAAGAGGACCCACCTCCCGGCCCCGCTGCGGGGTGCGAGGGTCCGTGGCCTGGGCAGGCTGTCACCGCGCCCCCCCCGCCAGTGGGCAGCAGGGGCCCCTGACCCCTCAACAGAGGCTCCTCCTCCTCCCGCGCTGGGGGCGGGGCTACCTTCCCACTTAGGGCGGGCCTCCAGCTGGTGCGTTTTCCAGGTGATGGCTCTGCCCTGGCCCTGGACAGCGCCCCAGCCTAGGGCTCAGGGACACATTGGGAGCCGGTTCCAAACCCCATCCTGCGCGGGGTGTGTCTCAGGAGAGGAAGGGAGAAGGAGAGAGAGAAATATCAATGATGAGCTGCCTGCTGCACGACCCTGATGGGGAGTGGAACCGTGACTTTCTGGTTCATAGCTTGATGCTCAACCACTGAGCCATACAGGTTGTCCTGGCCCTCTCCACACTAGAGGTCCCCTGCACAAAATTCATGCATGGAAGTGGTGTCCCTCAGCCCAGCCTGCACCCTTTCCAACCTGGAACCCCTCAAGGGATGTCTGACTGCCTGTTGTCCCTGCAGGATTCGGCCTAAACTGGCCATCTGACATCCCTCTCACAATCTGGGACCGTTGGCTCCTAACCACTTGCCTGCCTGCCTGATCAGCCCTAACCACTCCCCTGCCAACCTGATGGCCTCCAACTGCCCTCCTCTGCTGCCTGATCGCCCCCACTGCCCTCCCTGTTAGAGAGTGGGGATTTTTGAGCATGCTTACTACTCCCATTTCAGAGAGGCCATGGACTATGCCCCAGATAGAGTTGTCAGTGCTGACACCAGGCCAGGCCTTGAGATACGGTCTCATGGCCCCTTCCCAGCACATAGGCCTTGCAAGATAGAACACTGTCAGCTTTCTGAAGAACAGGATGATTCTGTGAATAATATGGTGGTCAGTGGCATGATCCTGAAGTAGCTTAGGAAAACTGTTTTGTCTTGGATTGCTAGTTCTGCAAAAACAGGATGTGGTAAATGGGCTTAAAAGCCATGCTACATAAAGGGTCGCTGCTGCTCTCTGGACTCCCTGCATGGAGAAAGGCACAGCAGTCACCTGCCGGCTGGCTGGCTGGCCAGCTAATAAAGGCTCCTTAAATTTTAATTTGGTCTGGGCTCCAGTGGTCATTCACTCGAGTTTGCTCCACAACATCCCCTGCTGGCCTGATCATCCCTAACCACCTCTGCCTTGGCACCCACCACCGTGGCTTTGTCAGGAAGGAAGTCAGACATCTGGAAAATGGCCTAATTAGCATATTACCCTTTTATTAGTATGGGGTAATTTAATTTTTAAATTTTACTTTTATTTCAAAGAGGAAGGGAGAAGGAGAGATAGAAACATCAATGATGGGCTGCCTCCTGCACACCCTAACCTGGGGTTTGAGCCAGCAACCCCATATGTGCCCTTGACCAAAGTCAAACTTGGGACCCTTTGGTCCACAGGCTCTATCCACTTAGTCAAGACAGCTAGGGCTGCCCCCTTTATCCCCCCCCCACACACACACACCCTATTTTTAAATTGATTTTTGAAGAGAGGAAGGGAGAGAAACATTAATGTAGGAGTGAACCACTGGCTGCCTCCTTCACGTCCCCAACTGGACTGGGAATCCAACTCGGGATCACCAAACCCCCCTCCCAACTCCCAAACAGAGCACTTCGCTCTAACCACTGACCACCTGCCGGGGCTGCCTTGCTCTGTGTAAAGAGCTCGAGTGCCAGGAGCGGGCAGCGGGCAGCGGGCTCTGGTCCGCACTGCAGGGGAGGAGCCATCAGGGCAGCGCCAGAGGCCAGAACCCTGGCCCAGATGGGGACCAGGCCACGAGAGTCAAGGGGCCATGAGGGCGGGGCACCCAGACTGGCTCCGCTGCGCATGCGTGTCATCAGACCTCACTGAAGCCGGAAGTGACGCACAAGGGCCCTATTTCCCAGCCCAGCCAGAAGCTTCGGTCCTCCCTGACGTCATCATCCCGTGCCCACACTCAGAAGAACAGAGAAAGGTCAAAAAAAGTAAAAAACTTAAAGACCTTTCACAGGGGGTACACATATCTGTATACAGAGTTCGAAATTTGAGCAGCCCAGCCAAGAAGTTTAAGGTTGAGGCCAATGCTGGGCAGCTGCACAAAGATGTCAGCGTGGTAGTGGTGGAAGGGGGCCCCCAAGTCCCAGAAGAAATTTAAGCGTCTTATGCTGCATCGGATAAAGTGGGATGAACAGACATCTAACACAAAGGGAGAGGAGGAGGAGGAGGAATGCGAGGAGGAAGCCATGAAGAAAAGCAACACATGTGTACTAGTCAGGGAGGGAACAGCCAAAGACCGGAGCTTTGGGGAGATGGAGTTCAAACAGTGCCCTACAGAGAACATGGCCCGGGAGCATTTCCGAAAGCAGGGGGCCGAACACTACTGGGACCTCGCGCTAAGTGAATCCGTGTTGGAGTCTGCTGACTGAGACTGCTACAAGCCCTGGCCTGCACCCTCCTGCCTGTGTCTCCTCAGTCCTCCCCCTTATTCTGTGCCCAGCCCAGCCCGCTTGTGTGTGAGATCCCGGAACTGTGCCCTGCTGGCTTTGGGACAAAGACATTGCTCTCCTCCCGTCAGCCTGCTGCTGCCCTTTACAGCCCTCAGGTGTATATGATTAAAGAGTTATTTTTTTAAGAAGAATTCTGATGACCGGGACTCCAAGCGGGATTCCCTTGAGGAGGGGGAGCTGAGGGACCACCGCATGGAGCTACAACGAGCTGCCTGCCGTGAAGATGACCTTCACCGAGCACCCCTACAACAACTGCCAAAGCGCTTCAGGCACTGCTCTCCCACCAGGGCTTCGACCTCCTGAGCAAGTTCCTGACCTCCTTTCCTGGGCGGAGGGTCAGTGCAGAGGACGGTTTCAAGCACGAGTGTTTCCACAAGACCCCG